CCGGAGCGGGGCCGAGCCGCGTGGGGCGCCCCGGCGACTTGTCCGGAGCGGGGCCGAGCCGCGTGGGGCGGCCCCCGGATGGAATGCCCCGGCTGGAGCGGGGCCGAGCCACAGAGTATGGCCCCCGACCCGCCGGAGTGGGGCTGTGCCGCTTGGGGTGGCCCCCGTCTGGAGCACCGGAGCAGGGCCGAGCTGCATGGTGCGGCCCCGACCCAGAGCCCCAGCTGGAGCACCGGAGTGGGGCCGAGCCGCGTGGGGCGGCCCCTGGCCGGAGTGGGGCTGAGCCGCGTGGGGCGGCTCCCGCCCCAGAGCGGGGTCGAGTCACGTGGTGCGGCCCCCCCCGACCTGGCGCCCAGGCCGGAGCGCCAGAAGGGGGCTGCGCCACGTGGGGCTTTGGGTTGGGGGCCACTCCACACGGCACGGCCCTGCTCCGGCGGTCCAGGGGCCGCCCCACCCGGCATGGCTCCGCTCTGGTGCTCCGGCTGGGGCTTTGGGTCGGGGCTGTGCCGTGTGGGGTGTCCCCTAACCCAGAGCCACACCGGAGCGGGGCCGAGCTGCATGGTGCGGCCCCCGACCCAGAGTCCCAGCTGGAGTGCCGGAGCGGGGCTGCGCCGTGTGGGGCGGTCCCCATCCGGAGCACCATAGCGGGGCAGAGCCGCACCCCAAACCAGCACCCCAGCCGGAGCAGGGCCGAGCCGCGTGGTGCGGCCCCTGGCTGGAGCGGGGCCGAGCCACATGGTAAGGCCCCCGACCCGCCAGAGCGGGGCTGAGCTGCATGGTGCAGCCCCTAGCCGGAGCAGGGCCGAGTCACGTGGTGCGGCCCCCGACCCATCGCCCTGGCAGGAGCGGGGCCGTGCCGCTTGGAGCTCTGTGTCGGGGGCCGCCCTGCATGGCCATGCTCCGGTGCTCCGGCTGGGGCTTTGGTTCGGGGCCGTGCCGCGTGGGGCGGCCCCCGATCCAGAGCCCTGACCGGAGCGGGGCCGTGCCGTGTGGTGCAGCCCCTGACCAGAGCGAGGCCGAGCTGCATGATGCGGCCCCTGGCTGGAGCGGGGCGGTGTTGCGTGTTGCGGCCCCCATCCGGAGCACCGGAGCGGGGCCGAGCCGTGTGGGGCAGCTCCCGACCCGGCGGAGCGGGGCCGAGCCGCGTGGTGCGGGCTGGAGCGGGGCCGAGCCACATGGTGCGGGGTGGAGCGGGGCCGAGCCACATGGTGCGGCCCGTGGCCGAAGCAGGGCCAAGTCACGTGGTGCGATCCCCAACCCGCCGGCGTGGGGCCAAGCTGCGTGGTGCGGCCCCCGGCCGTAGTTGGGCTGAGCCGCGTGGTGCGGCCCCTGACCCAGCGCCTCAGCCAGAGCACTGGAGCGGGGCCGTGCCACATGGTACGGCCCCCAACCCGCTGGAGTGGGGCCGTGCCACATGGGGCGGTCACCGACCTGCCAGAGCGGGGCCAAGCCACATCGTGCGTCCCCTGGCCGGAGCGGGGCCAAGTCACGTGGTGCGGCCCCCGACTCAGTGCCCCAGCCGGAGCACAGGAGTGGGGCCGAGCCGCGTGGTGCAGCCCCTGACCCAGCGCCCCAGCCAGAGCACCGGAGCGGGGCTGTGCCGCATGGTACGGCCCCTGACCTGCTGGAGCGGGGCTGTGCCATGTGGGGCGGTCACCGACCTGCCAGAGCGGGGCCAAGCTACATTGTGCGTCCCCTGGCCGGAGCGGGGTCAAGTCACGTGGTGCGGCCCCCGACTCAGCGCCCCAGCTGGAGCACAGGAGTGGGGCCAAGCCGCGTGGTACGGCTCCCGACCCAGCGCCTTCGTTGGAGTGGGGCCAAGCTGCGTGGTGCCGCCCCCCACCCAGCGCCCCCGGCCGGAGCGGGCCATAGTTTGCCCGCCTCTCTTATAGTGCTATTAGTATCTTAATCACCCTCAACTGGAAGCTGTGTTCATATTGAATCACCCCATCTCAAAAAGCAGGGAGTTGAGAGATGGGCAAAGAAAATGGCTTGCGGTATAGAAAAGGTCTCATATGAAGAGAGAGTGAAAATATTATAGGAGGCAAATAAAAAGGGAGATGATAAAAGCACAGAAAATAATGAATAATGTATAGAGTAGGTAGATCAGGAATTTCTTGTGACCCTTTCTCAGATTACAGATTTAGAGAGATTCAAAGAAATTGAAACACGGTGAATTAAAAACTGATGGGAGGAAATACTACTCATACAATGTATGATAAACCTGTGGATCGTTGTGGCCAAGAGCTTTAGCAGAATTCAAGAGGGACTGGACATTTAAATGGATGGCAAGAATATCCAGAATTAGAATAGGAAAAAATGAAAAGAATAAGCAATATTTTTGGAAGGAATATAAACTCTCATGCTTCAGGCCATAACCCAATCTCCTAACTATGGGAGGTTAGGAGGAAACTTTGGGGGGCAGGTTATTCTGTAAGGTTTCTTCCACTTTCCTCTGAAGCAGCTGGTCTTGGGCACTGTCAGAGACAGGATCCTTGATAAAATGAACCAGAGCTCTGATTCAACATGGCAGTTCCTGTGTTTCTGAAAGTTTAGTGCATAATGCCTAAGTGTCATATTACTCACTATGCTGTCTCTGCTGATGTTGGAATTTTTCCCAAAGGGCGATGCCAGCAGATGAATATTCCTGATGACCAAGCAGACAAGCTGCTCCTAGCAAGCTGGGGGCTTCCTGAAGTAGTTCTGGAGAAATACCACAGTCTGGGAGTAGTACATATGTTTGAATGGCAAGCAGAATGCCTGATGCTTGGACAAGTCCTGGAGGGGAAGAACCTAGTTTACTCAGGTATGCAGACATCTGACAGAATCATGCACTGTAACAGGCTAAGATTTTGTCCTGGAATTTTTAGTAGAAGTCACGGATAGGTAATGGGCAAAAAAGAAAAATTCATGGAAGCCGTGACCTGTCCGTGACTTTTACTAAAAATATCCATGACAAAATGAAGATCTGCGGGTCCCCATATAGCCTGAAGAAGGGCAGCTACGCAGGGGCTAGGAGCCGCCTGCAGCAGCTGGGGGCTGTAGGATACCTCTGTCACCTGAAGCTCTGGGGGCTCGAGGCGGCTGGGAGCTTGGGGGTTTGCCCACAGCTGTGGCAGCTAGGAACTGTGGGGTCCCCCTTCTGTCTGTGGGGGCTGGGAGCTGCAGGGTACCCCAGGGTACTCCAGGGGCCGCCGGCTTGGAGCTTGGGGGTCCCCCTGCCGGCCGCTGGAAGCTCAGGGTTTCCCCGCAGCTCCCGGCCGCTGCGGATGGCAGGGAATCCTGCAGGTCCCAACCACTGCAGGCTGAAGTCATGCAGGTCGCTGGAAGTCACGGTTTCTGTGATTTCCGCAACCTCTGTGACTAAATCGTAGCCTTAACTATAACTTCACTAATATAATAAATGATTTTACTGCTGCTAAAAGGTGCTGGGCTGAAATCTCTGGAGGCTGAAATCATCTTTGCCTTAGAGGAGGTACAGCACAGATTGCAGCAGGGCAAGTTACTGGGCTCAGCCCACTGATGTGCCTCTAACCTGCTGTGATGAGACCATCTCCAGATATGAAGAGGGAGTCCAGATTCGGGCCCCCAGAGCTGCAGGTGGCAGGGGTATCCCACATCTTGCCACTTCCTGTCATCTAGGAACTGGATGGAGACCCACTGGCTTGTTTTACTTGGGTGACTGAACAGCCACCAAAGTGGTAATGACTTTCAGTCATTGTGGACCAGGGGCTGGGTATGAACTAGCATCCTTAAAGTGAAAGTCTCTGAGTAAAATTTTCAGACACACCTAAATCCCATTTTAAAAAGTGGCTTAGACATTTAGGCACTTCTGAATATTTTTCTTTGTATGCAGTTTCCACCTCTGGAGTCATCCAGTAGCTAATCGCTTGCAGTTTAAGTTTTGACACACTTTTCTTGGATCATGTTATTTTAGCTCCTACTAGTGCTGGGAAGACGCTAGTTGCTGAGTTACTCATCTTGAAGAGAGTCCTGGAGACCCATAAGAAAGCTCTGTTCATCCTCCCCTTTGTCTCTGTGGCCAAAGAGAAAAAGTATTACCTGCAGGTAAGTGGAGTACAGGAGTGTGGGGGTATGGCTCAAAGCTGTCAAATCAAACCTTTTCAGAACCTTAAACATGTGGAAACATTTGTATGAAATGGAGGGGGGAGGGAGGAAATAGAGCTTTGTGGAAGACAGAAATTCTGTTTTGCAAAGGATTTTGAAAATTGGTTTAGTTTCGAATCAGAACAAAATCCGAAACATTGAAAGTCTCTGTGAAGGAATTTTGGGTTGATCAAAACATTTCATTTCAATTTCTACTTTTTATGTTGTGTGTTTTTTATTTGTGTGTGTATAATTTATTTATAGTACACCTCTACCCCGATATAAAGCTGTCCTTGGGAGCCAAAAAATCTTACCGTGTTATAGGTGAAACCGCGTTATATCGAACTTTCTTTGATCCGCCGGAGTGCGCAGCCTCGCCCCCCCCCCCGGAGCACTGCTTTACTGCGTTATATCTGAATTCGTGTTATATAGGGTCGCGTTATATGGGGGTAAAGGTGTGTGTGTATATATAACAAAAGGTCATTTCAAAACAAAAAATGTGAATGTTTATTCCAAAACTGTTGAAACAGGATGTTTTGACATTGTTGGAATACTTGTCTGGTTTTCTTCTGAAACAAACTTCCAGTGTGATGGTGCTGCTCACCTGTCCTTCAGCTGTGTGCACTTCATCCTACAATAAGGCTGTCACGTTCTGGGGTGCAGTCCAGACCGGAGTGAGGTCACTGCCTGCTTTGCACACCTCACAAGGCTTTGCTGCTTTAGTTCCCAACCTGGATTGCTCACAACCAGCCTACAGGTCACACACTGTGTGTCTGTGCACAGCTGGAGCCCTGGTCTAGCAGCTCTGACCCCAGCAGCTTGCCAGCAATGTACCAGTCACACTTTGGCTTCTACCAGCTTTGGTTACTACTTGCCAGGTGACCCCAACACACTCCCAGTTGAGGATTTTCCCCAAAACATGTGTTCTGCAGTGTCCAGCCCTTTCCTGGACAGTTCAGTTATTAAGGTTCATTGCTCTTCTATGGAGTCAATTTTCAACAATTTGCTACTTTAAGTGGAATTACCAAATTGTTCAGTTTAAACACAGCACTGCGTTGTTTGTTTTAGATTAAAAATAAAACACATTTATTAACAGAAGAAGATAGGAGTTTAAATATTTCAAGTATGAGATAAAGTTAGAAGTTACCAGCAAATAAAAGTGAAAACATGCATCTAAAAGTCTAAAACTTAATCCAGCAAGTTTTGGTTCAAGACTTTAAGATGGCCTTTCTCACCCACAGTCTTCCAGCAAGATGGTGACTGACTCTCTCCTTGGCCAGGATCTCTCCCAAAGGTGCTGGTGCCTTTGTCATCTTAGGTGAAAGAGAGAGCTTGAGGTCCTCTATCCCTTTCTTTTATAGGCCAATGAACCTTTGAGGTGGATTCTTTGGAAGGTTACCCTTCAAAGTAATATGTGTTTAAGCAGTAAGGAAGGTGACATGGAATCTGGTGATGAAGGGGCTTCATGCTCTTTCTTCACCCACTTGTGTTTGCTAAATTGCAAATTGTTCTGTTTCCTGCCATCTCCTCCTCCCTGCTGTCTTGAGGACCCTGTTTACCTCAATTTACATAAAAGTAGTAAACACATATTCCTTTCTTTAGGATAGGTCTCTTTAACAACTTGTCTAGGCAGGGCTTTGTGGGTTTGAACTTGTGCTAGTAACGTCATACAGGGCATTCACAACTTTACATATAATGTAGCAACACACATTTCACTATAATATTATTTGACCAATTAGTTATACATTTTCAAATCATACTTCACAAGGCATATTTGGTACAAAGTTTATTACAATAAAGAGCAGTAACTTGGGCTGCTCTGCTGTGGGGCAGAAAGCGCACAGTTGAATAGGAGACAGCAGGCACTAGCTGGCTCAGCCATGCTCTTAGTCGGGTTATCTGATATAGTGTTGGGAATGTCTGTTTTAGGATGTGTGTACTGTGCTGATTTCAGTATGCTGCATATGCTGATCGCAAGTAAAGATTCTAATTCTGTGAACAAATGTTCTGTCTCCCTGGCACACAGACTCTGTTTCAGGAGGTGGGTGTGCGGGTAGAAGGCTATATGGGAAGTACTTCCCCTGCTGGACGTTTCTCAGCACTAGATGTGGCTGTCTGCACCATTGAGAGAGCCAACGGACTAATCAATAGACTCATAGAGGAGAACAAGATGGACTCACTGGGTAAGATGCTAGGGCCTGATCTGTCTGCAGGATGAAGGAGCATGTTTATTGTGTACAGTTAATGAATTTTGTTTTGAGATTATATGCACTGTGTATGTTTAAGCCCTTATTTTTACTCTACTCTTGCCTTATAGTTCTTGTGCAAAGGAGACAGGCTGTGGCACCTGGGTGTCTCTCTCTGATTGAGACAGTTTTTAACTATCAGTAAGTGTACAGGCTGGGACCTGGCAGAACAATGAGATGGCTGCATCCTAGGTGATACCAGTTTTCTCCAGCTTGAATGCGGGGTTTGAAAGTGGAAAATCCCAGAAGGGGATCAAAGAAACCAGTTGTCAGATGAGGTATTTAAAAATGCAAAGGCTGAGAAGTTGAGGAGGGACTCCTATGCGGATTTCTTGAGTGAGAGGGGATGCTTTTGAGTGCAGGGGTCAGAGAGAGATGCCATGATTTGGAGAAGTCCTGAGCTGGAGGAGTGCAGCCCAACAGAGGGGAGTCGGAGTCCTGAAAGGACCCAAATCCCAAAGAACACTTGAGTGATGAGGAAATGACATATAGGTGGGGTTTGACTTAAATCTATGTATCTCTTTTGCTGCCTAAAATAAAGGGTGTTTGTTTTAGAAATCCTTCTTCAAAGTATACCTTGCTTTGCCTATCACATGTCCCTGAAGAGGTTAAACTATAACCCAGAGTGCCCACAAGGTTACAGCTCTGGGAAAGAATGTGCTTAAACTACTGGGAAGTCATGGGTGTGTTTAGCATGGGTCTTGAGGCAGATTGCCAATTTCAGAAGGGTACCAGATAGAGAGACTGCGTGTGCCAGAGAGGCTGGTGCCTGTCCAGACCAAGGGAAGTTTAAAAGCATGTTGGCCCAGCATGTGGGACCCAAATACAGCAGCCTAGGGAGTATCTAGAAAGGGGAGCTTAGGTAGGGCTGGGACACTTATTATACAACTTGAGTGTGTATGAGAATCAGGGAAAATGGGGACTGTCCTCAAGGCTCCAGGAGATGGAGGAACTGTCAATGAAAATCGAGCAATCTTCCCTCCATCCTGCTGCTTATAGGCTTGCTTTGGGAATCCACTCGGGCTGCTCTGTATGGCTGGAGGGTGGGTCAGTGGGTGGAATTTGTCGCTGTAGCTTGCCCAGCCCAGACAATGTGACTGGGAGACAATCCATGGATAGGGCTTGTCAGTGTTCATGGAAGATTCCCTTGGGTAGGGTTTAAACAGTGAAGGGAGTCTGGATGTTTCTTTGAATTCGTAGATCTCCTGTGTGCCAGATGGGTGGCTGGGAATGTGTATGTGTGGAATGGATGGATCGCACTTGTGGTGTGAAGTGGGGATGGAATCGTAGATGGGGCTTTTCTGGGTCTGGTTGGTTGGAATTTATGGATGAGGCTAATCTGTGTTGGCTGATGTGACTAGGAGGGCAATAACCTTAAATTATTTTTCCAATAGTAGTTTAAGAGGAAGCAAGCCTGCTGTCTTTCACAGTTGTGGACTTGCTGTATTACTGTGGTCCTAGGTTTTGGTGGTGCCTATTAAATAAGATGCATGTAAAGAGATGTGAAACCATTAGGAATTTCTGGGTATTCTGTGTGCATGGGAGGAGGAAGCTGTATTTTCCCAGCACAATCAAAAATTCATTCTTCCTTTGTGTTTGTCTAGCTGATATTTTATACACTATTGTTAAATCTAGAATCCCTCCTGCCCTGCCACTGGCCTGTGATGTTACTGTAGTATTTGGATTGATATTTTAAACCAAGAAAAGACAGAAAACTAAATGAATATTAAATTGTGAGACCCTCACCCTTGACTTTCCTGACGTGTGAGCATTTCATGCCATAATTTTTCATTGTACCAGCCAGGTAGCTCTTAAAGATAAGAAAGTAAGAAGAAAAGTTAGAGGCTGATGATTTTATCTTCATGTGTAATCGTGCAATGTGGATATTCACATGTTGGACCCTGGAGACTACAGTGATTTATGTGCTATAAATATTTTCAGCCGACCAGTGGGGGTGTGTGTGTACTTGAATGTGCTAAGATAGCTGCAGTTTTTGATTAGTTCTAGTGCAATCCGTATGCCTTTCTTTGTGTCCTCGTGGGGAATATTGCCAAAGAAGGGTCATATAGGTGTGGAGAGTCAGATAAGTATATGATTAGATGTGCAGAGCTTGTGTCTACTTACTGCTACCTCATTAAAATTTGTAAAATTGTCTTGCATTATTTGAAAGTGCAAAAAAAAATCTGAGACTAACTGATGATAAAACATCATTTTCTGATACTTGATTATTTGGAAAGTTATGCAAACTAATTAATTTCTGCCACCCTCTCAAAAAATCACTTTTGGCTTAAAATAATCATGACAAATTTCATCCCAAAGGGTAATATTTGGAGGTAAATTTTATAAAAACCTGAAAATACAAAGGCTGAAAATGACTTTAAATATAGCCAGCATCAAGCTACTGTAATGCTGCAACATTGTACCTTGACTCTTCTAATTAATTCTAATTTTAGACTACTTTTTTAATGGAGTGTTTTATTCTTTGAGATGAATTATTGAGAGACAACTGCAGCTCTGGCTGGATTCCATCTCAAACTTGAGCTGTTCCTTTTGTTGGTGTCAACCCCCTGCTGCCAGCTCACATTACCTCTGGAAATTGTTGAGAGAAACTCAATTCCTGCTGCTGGCAGAGCTGTCTGTTGCCTAAGGCAGTTCAGAGCAATTTGATTTGAGTTTAATTATTATATAATTTATGCAGTTGCTCGCATCTCGGTAAACAGGAAAGGGAGAAGTTTTCATGCAGTATTGTTTAGTATCAATGTGAGGAATAAATCTAGAGAAATTTTAGGAGAGCAGACTAAAGAAAAACCTCCTTCCTGTTAAATGTGCCAGCTGGGAGTGGGTTTGTATTGTGTTACCAGTGGTAGGTTTGTAATTTAAAAATTAAGTTTAAAAAGTAGAAGTTCAAAAATCTCTGGATTTTAGCATTTTTGATATAAAAAACAAGTTGAACCTTCTGTGGCTGCCCTGAAGAACTGTAGCAACTCAGAGGTTGTCTTCACTTGCAAATTAATTCAGATTAAGGTAGGGTATGAGTTTAAAAAGCAGTAGCCATTCTCAAATAACTGTAGACAAGCCCTCAGATTAACATGAGCACCTTGCCAGGAGCCCCAAAGTCTCACATTATTTGCAGACAAAAGAGCATATTGTAGTTGTCTTCATTTTCAGTAGAGATGCAGTTTAAAGAGATTACAACCCCCCTCCCTCCCGCTTGCACTGCTCAGCAGGTTGCTGAGTTAAAAAGAATATTACATGCTGGGACTTGCACAACCAATGGAGACTACTTCTGTTTTAAAGATGATGGTAGCCGCCTTGTTTGAGCTATTGTGTCTACTTTGGTGGCTTCAGTATAATCTCAACAGATGCCTCCATGGTACTGCTTGGAGAAAGAAACATTGTATGTGTAAATGACTGTCAGGCCTGGCTGATTTGTGAACGGCTCAGATTCCCATATACGTGGTTATACTGAGAGCTTGGATGTCATGCCTGAATAACAATAGGAGGTACAGAAGTTTTGGCCCATAAAAAAGACAGCCGTACTCTGTCTTTTGGGGGAATTCTGCACCACTGCATAATGCAGAATTTGCTCAGAAATTAATGTTCTGCGCAGAATTTCCTTTCCCCCCCCCAACAGAAATGGGCTGCAGAGCTGTTGGCTGCCCCTAGGGGCTGCTGGACCTGGCAGAACCCACCTTGCAGATAGAAGACACTGCTGGATGAAGGAAGCTGGAGGGTTCCCAACAGCTTCAGTTCCTGGCACGCCCTGAAGGAAGGAGGCGGCGTGAAGGAAACTCCACACAAGCCCTGGACCTAGCATCAGTCTTTCTCTCCCTCTGGATCCCTGGGCTCTGGGGGGAAGGGGTAGGGGGTGTGAGTGTCTGGGCTGTAGGGTGCCCTGCGGCTGGGCTCTGGGGGAGGAGGGGGTGCGAGTGTCTGGGCTGGGGGGCACCTTATGACTGGGCTCTGGGAGGTAGGGGGTGCGAATGTCTGGGCGGGGATGCCCTGTGGCTGGGCTCTGGGGGATAGGGGGTGCCAGTGTCTAAGCTGTGGGGTGCCCCATAGCTGGGATCTGGGGGGAGGGGATGTGGGTGTCTAGCCCCTCAGCTTGGCTCTGTGGGGGGATAGGGCAGAGAAACAGGAACTGGGTTGTAGGGGTTTCTTTAACTATATTCCCTGGGGAAAATTTTGTGTCTGTATTGTTACAGATCTAGTTGCTGACAGGTATTTTGAAATAAATTACCGAAATAATTGAAACTGGCATAAGTATATAGTGTTATTTTGACAAATCAAATATGCAGAATTTTGCAGAATTTTTAATTTGTTAGCACAGAATTCCTCCAAGAATAACACTGCATAGCAGAAAACATCACATTTGAGACATGCCCTCCTGGGGAATCTGACTAAGACTGTTCTTCGGGAAGTCTCTTCATGACAGACCTGTGAGGTGCTGCTGTTTCATTTAAAAAATAAAAATAAAAAAATCCTGTGCAGGACTTGAAAAACCCACTTGCCCTTGGTTAGTAGGAAGCTGTTGCAGTAGCCATAAGGTTAATGAGAATAAATGTGAAACAAGTGTAAATGAATGCAGTGCTGTGTCTGCCTGAATCTGCAGGCAGCTGTAGTACCTCTGTTGTTGCACATAGTTTTGCCAAACTATAGCAGATGGAAAAGTGATTGGATCATTGTTATTTTCCCTGCTTCTATTCAGTGCTTTGTGCTGTGGTCAGCAATGAAAATGACTAGAATCAGGTCAATTCCACTTTGATGTTGCTAAGGAAATTTGTAAGAAAAATAAGAGGAAAGCATTGGTGCTATTCAGCAGGGTGAGAGAATCCAAAACAGAGGCTGTGGGAAGGGGTAGAGCAACACAGACACCGCTCACTCTCAACATGCTCGTACAGCAGCCAGGAAGGAGACTTGGGGTTGGGAGAGGCAAATAGAGAATACAGTTTTTCTTTCCCCAACCTAGAGGCACAGACTATGTGGACACCAGCTAGCCAGAGGCTAATGCAAAAGATCGAACTACCAGTTATGTTCTAGAGACATCACTCTGGTAGAAATATCACCCTCTCCTTTCTCAGTAGATGGCAGAGTTAAGTTGACTTTTTGCTTTTATGTTGCTTGGGGGATGGAGGGGCATCTTTTTTCTCTGTCTTCAGCTATGTGTACACTAGGAGCGCTTTACCGGTGCTTTTGCCAGTATAACTTCTTCTGGTTTGGTGAGCGAAACAAACTATACCAGTAAAAACACTCTTTTACCAGTACAACTACGTCTATGCTAGAGTTTTTGCCAGCATTGCTATGTTGGTAAAAAATCACCTTCCCAACCTACGTCGATATGCTGGCAAACTTGATTATAAACCTGGCCTAAGTGAGGTGGGAATGTTCATTTCATCTAGAATTTCTCAAGTTTGGTGTGGTCTGGAAATTTAGAAAGATGTTGTAATTAATTCGGATTGAGGTAGGGTATGAATTTAAAGAAGAGTAGCCATTCTGGAATAACTGTAGACAAGCCCTCAGGGTAACCTTAATTTGGTGAGATGTTGAGGTTGGAAAGATGGGTGCACTGTTAGCTAGACTCCACCAAACACACTATCAAATTTAACTTTATTTTTTTAAACAAAACAAATTTTGGAGGTAAAATGTCATGAAACTGATCATCTGCTTCATACACTAATATCAGAGGAGAAACAGTGACAGGAAGCGGCAGAAATGTCTCTGGCATGCACAGGAATTTTGTAAATTTCAACCATTCAGATGGAATATGCTGCTGAAGGAGTGATGGAGGTTTGTTCTTGCTTTTGAGCTTTGGTGAAACTTCCTTCCCTGACAAACCAAGGGATGTACCCCACCCATGTACTTATTCGCTACACTGATACTTGGACTCTTTAATACGTTCCATGGGTGGCGTACCCGAGCCCACTTATCCACGGACACTTTAAAAACTCCCGCAACCCAATCTGGGTCTCTGCTGGTTATGTGATATGTATGTAGCTCGTGATCCTTGTAACTGATACCTGTAATCCCTCATAACTCAAGCCTGACCCCAGATGTACAGTACCTTCCCTCTTAACTTGTGCATATTTAATTTTAAACATTAACTTTAATAAAAATTTTAAATCTGTAGTGCTTCTTTTCACCAGGGATGGTGGTTGTGGATGAGTTGCACATGCTGGGAGATTCTCACAGAGGATATCTGCTGGAACTCCTGCTGACCAAAGTTCGATTTGTTACAGAGAAAGTTGCTAAAAGGTGGGTAGACTGGGAGTGTCTGTCTTTTAATACTGAATTCTGAGCAGCTTCAATATTCAGATTGTTCTCTGAGTTACTGGAGATATGGAGTGGCTCCAGGAATTTGGTGAGAACTCTGATCTAGGATCCCTCAGTTATTAAGGTCTCATCACATCAGGAGGCTATCACTATAGTCAAAAACCTTTTTCCTCGAGTTTTTTAATTTGTGTTTTGTTGTAAAATTCATTCTTTTTTGGAAAAGAAATTGGGATAAAGCTTTAAGTTCAAATATAAAGTAAGCTAATTTTTTTTAATGTTTTGGATTTGTTGTTTCTTCTTTTCTGGTGTCTTGTCTTGTTTAATTTTTCATTCCTAGGCAATAGAGTTTCTACCACTATTGCCTCCTTTAGGAGACTTTCACAACCTAATAGATCTCTCTATCAAAAATGTTTTGATATGTGTGAAAGAACTGTATGATCGGGCATCCTGTTTTGGGGGTTGTAGGATTGGGATGAACCCCAAAATGAGGAAATGTTTATTTTGATTGCTTAATTATAAACATTATATCCAAAGGAAAAGACTTAGCTGACTACAGCTATTCTCTGCTGAGTTATTCTACCCGCTTACATGCGTATTACCATTTGACATGGAAAAGATGAAAAAGCAATGATCACAAGTGTCGTCTATACTAAATCATAAAACATCTACACGCCATAATACGATAGTGAGCCCTTCATTACTCTAAGTGTTAAACCATCCTTAGCTGGAGTGGAAGGCTTTGAATAGTTGTTGCTTTTGTGAACTTTCTAAGAAAGGAAATTGTGTGTAATGGAGATTCAAATTTTTCAACATAATTCAGACCAGACATGATCTATCTAGTTCCAGGACTCAATTTGTGTTGAGATGCTCCACAATAATTACATCTTTGTATATGTGTTGGGCATTAACAGCATGCCCAGCAAGGCATGTAGAATGTGCAGGAGCATACATAGTGGTGGATTAGGAAATACGTAATTTTTAAAAAATTGTACACTATGGTGGCAGACAAGCTTTTAAAAAAATCAGTCCTGTATTCTGTGGTTAGAGTTATTGATGGGCCATGCATTTGGTGAGTGATTTAGCCCTAGTTTTTACACGGACTTAAGAAAAGTCTAACTAGGTTCTTGCATCCTTATTTAGACATCTGACAAATCAGGCCACTTGTTTAGAAGTGCTGAGCATCCTTTAGTTCTCTTTGAATTTAATGGAAGCTAGTGAATGCTCATCACTTGAAAATAAGGCTACTGATTTAATTTCCTAAATAAGGAACCTAACTGTGTCTAGCCCATTTTTGAAAACCTTAGTCTATGATTGTTTAGCTTAAAATTGAGACAAAATGGAGTGGATTTGATTAAGATATTTAAGCTTATGAAAGTTATAGTGAAAATATATCTGCCCCTTTTGTTTCCATAATTCCATAACTTGAACACTCAAAATTAATAACAAGGAAATCTTCAAAAAATATTTAGAAGTGTGTGTAGTCAGTGCCTTCGAAGGCTAAGCCTTGTAACCACATTTTTTAAAATTATGAGTAATCTTATGATCAGCATATAACATTTGTAGTTATGTATGCTGAGAGGAGAGGAATCCATTTTTCTGCTGCAAGATATTCAATGTATTCCTTTGAGCATCAGGATCCCGGATTGAATGGATAGGATTTGGTATTCTGCACCAGAACATTGGCATAGGGTTCTATTAACTTTCATTTTCTTTTAACCAATTATAGACAGACAAAGGAGAACAGTCCTGTTTTTGACAGCATACAGATAATAGGCATGAGTGCCACCCTCCCTAACCTGGGTCTTCTGGCCTCCTGGCTGAATGCTGAGCTGTACCATACTGATTTTCGCCCTGTACCCCTTATGGAGTGGGTGAAAATTGGCCATAATATTTATGACTCTTCAATGAAGCTTGTGCGGGAATTCCAACCCATGCTGCAAGTGAAGGTAACTACTGATTCTTGCTAACTAACTCCAGGATAACGTTGTTTCTATTGTCTAATTAAAAGAAGACTCTCTTAAAATGTATCAGTAGATGTGTAATGTTTTAAGTAGCTGACATTCCTACCCTGCTTCTAACATAGTGTGTACACTCAAAATAAGGGCTAAAGTTACACTTTTCCTGTGATTTGGTTTTTATTGGTAAACCATCTTAAACTTCTTCCCAAGCTAGGGTTTTCCCCAGCCAGGCCTATCTGTCCCTAGTTCCCTTTGCCTCAGAGAGACACTCCATCTCCCCTTATAAACTAGATTGGAGCTAATTGGACACATCTGAGATAAAAGTTCATAGATTCTAAGGAAAGAAAGGACCATTGTGATCATCTAGTCTGACCTCCTGTATAACACTGGCCATAGAACTTCCCGAAAATGATTTGTTTTGAGCTAGAGCATTTTTATTTATTTATTTTTAAATCCAATCTTTATTAAAGTGTTTGCCAGTGATGGAGAATTACCTGAATATCTTGGCAAAAATACCTTTGCATATCTGCAGGTTTTGAGCATCTGAACCCAGAATAATACAATAGAAGAGCCTTTCATTCCAATGCTGGGTTCCAGAAACTGTTATCTGGTTAAAAATGTACACGAAAATTTCCTAGTTAGGTTAATTTAAACTGCTTAATCTTTAGCAAGCACCTTTTCTTTTTAATCCCTTTTTAAAACTACTAACAAAACCATCCAAAGCACAGGACTTGGTAGTGATGGGGGGCTTCAACTATCCAGACATCTATTGGGAAAGTAATCTAGCAGGGCACAGATTATCCAACAAGTTCTTGGAATGCTTTGGAGACAAGTTTACTACAGAAGGTGGAGGAAGCAACTAGGTGAGAGGCAGTCCCAAAGTTGATTCTGACTAATAGGGAGGAACTGGTTGAGAATTTAAAGCTTGAAGGCAGCTTGAGTGAAAGTGATCATGAAATGATAGGGTTCATGATTTGAAGGAACGGTAGAAGAGAAAACAGCAGAATAAAGACAATGGATTTCAAGAAGGCAGAGCTTAGCAAATTCAGAATTGGTAGGTAAGCTCCCTTGGGAAGCAAGTGTAAAAGAAAAAATGTTCAGGCGAGGTAGCAGTTTTTTAAAGTCATATTATTAAGGGCACAAAAGCAAACTATACCAATGCATAGGAAAGATGGGAAGTGTGGTAAGAGATCACCCTGACTTAACCAGGAGATCTTCAACAACCTGAAACTCCAAAAAGAGTTACGCAAAAAATGGTTACTAGGTCAAATTATGAAGGATGAGTATAAAAAAACAACACAAGCATGTGCGGACAAAATTAGGCCAAAGCACACAATGAGATTAAAGTAGCTTGGTACATAACGGCACTGAGACACCATTTTACAAATATATTAGAAGCAAGAGGGAGGTCGAGGACAGCGTAGGCCCATTTACTCAATGAGGAGGGAAAGACAATAACAGAAAACGCAGCAATGGCCGAATTGTTCAAATGCCTTTTTTTGTTGTTGTTTTTCGCCAAAAAGGTTCAGTGATTGGTTGACTAACATAGTGAACCTCAGTGTAAATGGGGTAGGATCTGAGGCTAAAAGAGGGAAAGAACAAGTTCTAGACAAGTTAGGGTATGTGCACGGTGCAGTGTAAGCCTGGGCTCAGGCTTAGACTTGAGCCCAAACCCCTTTTCCGTCTACACACACGTCTCTCAGACTTGGGCTCAGATCTAGAGTCCTAGGACCCTGCAAGGCTGGAGGGTTCAAGCCCAGGTCAAGCGGTGACCCAGGGTTGAGCCCTATTGCTTTGCAATGTAGACGCAGCCCCGCTTGACTCGTCTCCTGGGAGTACACCAACAGTATCCCACAATCCCATGGGCCAACTTCCTTTGTCTTCTGTATCCAAACAATCTCCAGTCTACTCAATTGAAAATGGAAGCTATCCTTCCTTGGCATACAGCAGCAACTCAGTGAGTTAGTATTAACCCTTCCATTGTCTTCTGATCACTGAGCTGCAAACACATCTTCGGAGAGCCTTCTGTGTTTGCAATGGAGACAAAGCAGAACAAGCCTTTTGTAAAGCGCACTGCTTCATGGTCACGTGATTATAGCCAGTTTTCGGTGAATCTCTGATGTGAGGCCAGTAAACCTGTTGACTTTTTAGCAAAAGTACCAGCAATGATCATACGTACCAACAGACGGATAAAAAGCCGGCAGCTTTGCAAATTTTCCGGGCTGGTGACCAGTGCAGGGGGTGAATTTAGTGTCTCAAGAGTGAGTGCTGGAAGACCAGGGATCAGAACCGCACCTTGTGCAACTGTAAGCCTCATGCCCGTTTTTATGAGGAGTTTGACTGGTGCTTGGCACTGTGCCTATCACAGAGCCAACCGTGGTGCATGACGACCTGGTCAGCCTGGATGGTGCCCTACTGTCCCCTAAATCCAGCATGGGGACTAATGGGAGCCAGGAGGAGACAGAAGCTGCCCCTGAGCCAGATAAGTTTCTGATTCGAATTAAAAGTTTATTACTACAGTAATGGGAGGGATTTCTGCTCTAAGAACCAATCCAAAGTTATGAGAAGCCTCAGCTACCAGCATGTATCCACTAATGGAGGATTGTATCCCAGCAGTTTGGTGCCCCTCCCACCCCCCAGCATGTGGAGTTCAAAATGGTGACCGGGAAATGCAAACAGTAAAGAACAGGTTTAAAGAGTATTCATGTTTTTCTTAAAGTAATAATCTTTAAGTTTGCCACTCTATAATCACTCAGCGTCTATGGAGCTGTCTGGAAACAATGAACTGTGTGTGTGTGTGTGTGTGTGTGTGTGTGTAAATGTGTTCTTCGAGTGCTTGCTCATATCAATTCCAGTTAGGTGTGTGCGCGTGCCACGTGCTCAGCTGGCGGAAGTTTTTTCCTAGCAGCTACCCATCGGGCTGACTATGGAGTCCCCTGGTGCGCCATCAGTATGGCGCTCTATATATGACCCTGCCGGCCTGACCCCCCTTCAGTTCCTTCTTACCGCCAGTGACGGTTGTTGGAACAGTGGCTTCTTGATTTGCAAGTGTCCCACTAATCCCTAGCTCCTCTGTTATCTTCTGTAAGTAGTTTGCTCTGTTAGTTAATCGTTAGTGGTTAGTCTTGCTACTTAACGGATTGGGGGGCTCCCCCTCCAGCACGGGCCCTACCGGGGACTCAGGGCATGCCATCTCAGGGCTTCAAACCCTGTAGTTCCTGTGTGAAGCCTATGCCCACGGGCAACCCCCCGACTCCTGTCTTCAGTATCTGGGAGAAGCCCACCAGTCAGACAAGTGTAAGATCTGCAAGACTTTCAAACCTCACACATGGAAGGAGGGGGACATCCAGCTGAAGCAACTCCTAATGGAGTCAGCCCTCCGTCCTCGGCAGGACCCAGCCCCGAGTGCCTCGGTGCGAAACACTCCCACTGCGGTCCCATCTACAGTGCCGAGAAAGGACCTGGCGTGCTAACCCAGGAACCGCCGATCCCCTGGACCCCAGAAGCATTCTCACCGGCACCGCTCTCATTCCCTGACTGCCTGCAAAAAACAGACAAAGGGGAAATCCTCCCCCTCCCCCTCCCTCCCCCCCGTGCGGGTTGTTACTGCAGCTGTACCCCCAGAAGGGAACAGTGCAGGGGATAGACCTATGGCCAGCAGACCGTTGGCCCAGGCACAACCAATGCGGGTCCCCATCTCTCCAATGAGCCCTATTCTCCTGGACTCCCCACGGCTGCATGTGGAGGAAGCTATGATGCCTTCCACCCTGGACACCTTTGAAGCTGCCAGGGGCCTCATCAAGATGATGGAACCTAAGTCTCCCACTATGAGGGACAAGCCACCACTCCCTCGGAGCATGGCACCATCCAGAGGCAAGCCTGCCATGTTGGGTCCATCAGCCCCTCGGCCTGAATCTCCATGCCGCTCTGAGTCCTGATGCGGCTCTGAGTCCCGGCACTGCGCCCATGCCAGTCTGACTCGCAGCGCTGGTCCGACTCACGGCGCTGGTCCCATAGCCCTGACTCTCGGAGCTGCTCCCACTCGGGGTGGTCGTCGGCATACAGGTCTTGATCCCATTCGAGATCCAGGTCCCGTTCTAAGCACTGAAACCCCCACCGCCCCCCCAAATTAACCAGCTCCTTTCCCTCCACAAGCACATTATTACAGATACTATTCCCGCTCTTTCATAGGGCCATGCAAGTTGATAATGTGAGAACACAAAGCATCCCTGACTTCTGTTGCCCAGGTGCAGCCAACTCCAGTTGTTGTAGATGCTGGCTGAGTGAACCAATTCAGCTGCTCCTTGTTGTTATAGGCCCATTTAGGGGAAAATGGCTCACCTTTGGCGTCTCAAAGATTGTAAAGAATACAGCAAGCCACAATAATGCAGACAGCATTGCTGAGTTAGCATTCAAATGGGTCTGCTGACACCTTCAATTGGATTTTAATTTGCCAAAGCACATCCAACAGCGATAGAATCTACACCTGCTAAGAGTGTAATTAAACCTTCTTTTGCCCAGGCCTCTGAAAATCAGGGAATTGCTTCATAAGACAAGGCAAAAGGGGATACGTGGGGTCCCCCAGAATAACAGTGGGGATAGTGTTTATGACAATGTTATTTGGTGGGAACAGTGTTCCAGTCTGTCCATGAATGTAGACTCCTGATTGGTGAAAAACCCTGATGTGAACTTTAAGAATGCAGACCATGTTGACCTTCATAAATTGGTCTCTGTGGGGGGCCTGCATAACAATCAAGTAGTACCCATTGTGGTTTATATACTCCTTGAGGAGAGCAAACTATGGGCACATGAGTCCCATCATTGGCCCCTGTGCAGTTAGGAAAACCCCATTCTCTCAAAGCCAGCAGTTACTTCAGGAATATCTTTAATGACCACCTTCGGGAAAACCACACACCTTACAGCCTCAGAAATCTCCACCACCACTTTGCTCACAGTCGCCTTTCCAACCCCAACTGGTTGGCAACGGA